CTAGTCCCTGGCCCCCAGCCAGTCCCTCTTCCTCCCCTTCCCCCCCCACCCAAGATCAAGTGTGTCCGTTTTTTTTGGGGAGGGTCTACCTGGCAACCCTATGAGTCGGACCTGGTGCAGGCACCAAGTGACAGGGACTGCCAGAACTTTGGGAACCAGAGACTGCAGGGTGAGAGTTTGTGGCCCAAAAGGGTGCTGAGAAACCTAAGAAAGACAGAGCAGGGGGAGCACCAGAAGGGTGACAGTCAGGGCGACCCTAGAACTCTGTTACAGACCAGTTGGCGGCTGCTGGAAGAGGAGGGAAAAATAGGGGAAAAGGGTCAGAGAGGAAGGGGCTTGTGCTGAGGGGAGGGGGGCAGGTCAGGAGAAGAAAGGGGAAGGCACCAAGGGACAGGGTGTAGGAGAGAGACAAATGCCAGGGGGCCAAGTTGAGACAATGAGGAAAAGGGCAGGAGGGGAGGTGTCAGTGGGGGGGGACAGGATGATGCTAGGAGAAGAGAGGAGAAGGGCTTTGGGGGCTAAAGGGGAGAAGGGGAGGTGCTGGGAGAAGGCTTGAAAGAAGGGGTGGGCATGAGGGAGGTGGGGATGGAGCAAGGCATCTGTTAGGGCACAGGGGCATGAGGGGAACGGAGGCAGAGGGTGGTGAGGGAGTGGGTATCAGAGAAAAAGAGAGCAAAGGGGGCAGGGGCAGTGAGGGAAGGGGGAGGCACCAGGAGGGTGCAGGTGCCAAGGGATTCTGGGGGTGAAGCAGAAGGGCAGACACCTGCAGGGGAGGGACCAGCACCAGAGGAGAGAGACAGGGCAGGTTTGTAGAGGGAGGTTTTATGAGAGGGGATGAGGACGGGTAGCTCACATGATCAGAGTGGGACTACTGGAGGAGTGGGCACAGGGCAGAGAGAGAGGCTGGTGGAGGGGGTCAGGTCTCAGGAAGGCTGAGGGCAGTGAGAAAGGCAGGAGTCAGGACAGCAGAGGTGGGTGAGGGGTTGGGGGTGCAGCAGGCACCAGGGGAGCTGATGGAGCAAGGGGAGGAGACATGGCAGCAGAGGGGAAAGGTAGAGGTTCATAAGATATTTATTAATAACTTGGGTGCCACAGTGGCACATCCAAACAAGCCACAAACTCAGTACTGGTGCACAACACAAAATTTATTCTGTTCATGGGAGGAAACTCTTAAGAGGGAACACTTCCCCCAGCCTCTCCACCCCCTGAGTTAATGTCCCACACATTGGGTTCATGCAATTGCAGGATAGTTGCATGAGGGGGGTTTGGTGAGGGCCAAACTAATCCCTATTGGTAAGAGGATGGTGGGAAAAGTCTTGGGGGGAAGGGTCCACCTGACACCTTTTATTTCTGGTCAAGTGTCCATATTGCCCCAAAAGTTTTACATCCAGAGGCATGGCTAATGGGGGTCAAAGAGTACATTTAGAAAAAATTCTTTGGGTGCACACCCTAATGAAATGTGCTGCACATGCCTATGTGTACGTATGGAGGTGTGGGGTTCATACCCCATGCCATGTTATCTTCTGGCATCCTATACGACTGGCTACAAATGTGTTTACTAGATGTGTTAACCTTTACGGTTACACACAGCCTCCTCCCCCCATGCTGTATCAGAGGCAGCAGAGCGAGGTGGGGGGCATATGGGAGCTGGTGCTTGTGGGGAGCCAGCCTTTTAAGTACTGGCCTCTGCCTTCCCCCTCCCCCTACTGCTGCCTCTTAAAAACCGGCTCCCTGCACACACCAGTTCCCGTGGAGCCCCTCCCCCCCACCGCGTGTAAATGTATTTTAACATCCCTAGAACCAACTCCTCTAGGCCCAGGTTTTCGACTTCATCCTCCTCCACCTGTAGCTGCCAAGCCTGGCACCAACTTGGCTTCTTCAGATGAGGACTCTAGGAGGAAGTGCAGCAGATGCCCATTCATATATCATTTTCCTCAGCTGAAGAGACAGTGATGCATGAATCACCCTCTGACAGAGGTTGTGTGGTACCAGTTGGAATGCGTGGTAGCCAAGGAAGTCTAGGGGAAGAATTGCTGTAAGAGGTAATAACACAGCATTGCATTGGAGGCTGGGGCTGTAGTGAATCTACGCAAATTTCTACCATTTTTCAAAGTGTCTTTAATTTCCATGGTCTGGTAGCACTTTCTAGACTAACAAAACATGTAGAGGGGATCCTGAGCTTTCGTGGGCACAGCCCTCTTCTTCAGATGACTGGAGTTATGAGTAGGGGATAAGAAAACTGGAAATAAATTGTAGCATTGTGTTCTGCATGACTGAGGTTGTATGTAATATGTTGTTGTTTGCTGATAATGTCAGCTCGAGCATGTTTGCGGAAGCAGTCGATGTAGAAGTCCAGATTTTCATTACGTCCATTGGTGGGGGTCCACATAGAAGCTGCCTTCTTGTGGGGTTGCCGGGGGGGAGCAGTGAGGTCAGTATGTTGTATATCGGTGTGTTGGAAATATTCCTTCAGGCGGAGGCGGCGAAAATAGGATTCCAGATCCCTACCGAACTTAATCAAGATGGTGGACCCTTTATCACTGAAGGTGCTAACAGCTTTCTGAATGGTATCCTTCCTGCCTTACCAATCTATCCACTGACTTTGATCTTTATCTACTCAGATTTAGCATCCTTTTTCCTGATACTTTATGTATAGAGGTGGGGGGTGGGCTACAGAACATCTTTCTCTTCTTCCCCCTTCCCTTCTCCTATTTATTTTGAGTTTTCTTATCCCCTAGTCATAACTTCGGTCATCTGAAGAAGTGGGCTGTGCCCACGAAAGCTCATGATACCATCTACATGTTTTGTTAGTCTGTAAGGGTATGTCTACACTACCACCCTAGTTCGAACTAGGGTGGTTAATGTAGGCAACCGAAGTTGCAAATGAAGCCCGGGATTTGAATTTTTACCACCATTTTTACCGTTACACCTACGGTAGTTCGGAATAGGAAGCCTAATCCGAACTACCTAGTCCGTGCTGCGTGTAGCCGCGGGCACGGAGTCCGAACTAGCGGACATTTAAAAATGGCGGCGCCCGGCAAGATGCAAATGAAGCTCGGGAAATTCAAATCCCGGG